GAATTTCTTTGTTTCTTGCTGCATCAGGTATTGCGGATACATTATAAGATGGACGGACATCACATTCGGCGCGCAAATTGCCACTGGATATGCGTTTCGCGCAAGCACCAATATTTCGTTTGTAACATTTCAAAAGGAATGTGGTATGGTTAAAGTTCTGCCAATTTGCAAGGTCTTCGACGAATAAGAAACGACTTGTAAGAAATTGCTTGATCGAACTCTTAACATTTACTATCATATACACCACCGTTCGTTGACGCTCTCATTAACATCTGGCGACTTCAGACAAACTCTTCCAGAGACAACTACATCAACACCAGCTGATAAGCTCAATGCTTGCCTCAAAGCATCGCATCTTTGGGGACATGAATGAAAACTCACAATAAAAAACCAATATGCGTGTAATTTGCAGCGCGGTCCGTTAGCAAACACACTTTCAAAACAGCTATTCGTGAAGGAATATTGAAGGAAAATTACCAGTTGATGCTACCACAAAATGTAATTCATTTCCATTAAACTTTCGCGTCATTGTGCCATCCATTGAACAAATCATTCAGAAAGATTTTCGGGAAATTGTCACCAATCATAAAAATCATGAATGGCTTTGCGAAGTACTATTTTGGCAACAAATATCACCGACGTCAATCCAATCCACCACCCAAGAAACATTCCAGGCGATTCTGTTTCCTATAACCGATTGACAGCGTCATGAATACAAAGGTGTCAATCATCCAATCGAGTTTTTAAATTTGTTGGATCTTTCTGGTGTGCTATTACACAAAGTGTCACTAAAAGTTGGCTTTCCAGGTAATCCTGCGCAACATTAATCGTATCATCTTAAGCAGTGCATTTGGCACTATCCGTACAAAACGATTGAAGAAAAAATTTTGAAGCATTTTGAAGAATATCGTGTTATCGTTATTGTAGAACACACAAAAATGATAAAATCGGATATTTTAGTGAAAATATCTAATTTACAAAATATTATGACAACTTTTTAACATTATAAAATTAATACATTTATGGCTACAACATCAAAAGGATTTTAATTTCCAACGATACATTCAGATACGAGATACAATGAAAAATGGCCAAAATATGCCATTTTCCAGGCTCTCGTGCGCCCTCTAAATATTGTAAAAAACGCGTATTATTGTGGTATACTTCTTTTCTCATAGAAAACAAGTTCGACGCAGCCAATTATACTGTAATAGCACGTAGCGAGGGGTAGAAACGTAACAATAAACGTCATTTCTTGTCAATAAGAGGAGTCCCCCTCTCAAATTCGACAGACATATATCATGCCGCGACGGCTTTAACGGCATCAATTAGGGCTACGTGCCCACATCGCCGTTAATCAGGGCTACAGGCTGCCCATCTCGGCATCAATCAGGGCTACAGGCTGCCCATCTCACCGTTAATCAGGGTCACAGGCTGCCATCTCGCTTTTTAAGTAGGGCTGAAAGCTGCCCATCAGCATATGCCTTACCGGCGTATTTTTGTCTCTCTCGCAGCGCATCTGCCCAATTAGACCACGACGGCACGCATTGTCTCGTCATCGCGTCCGGGGAATTAAAACATTCGCTCAGAGGTGTACTGTGACGTGTGCATCGACCTTTACGCAGCAAGACCTAAGTCCCGGCGTCAATCGGGACGAGTTCAGTGCTTCCACGTTACAATACTTGTTTCTGCCTCCGTGGTGCCGAGCCAAGCAGTTCAATTAGGTTCATTAATTGAACTGTTGTAATCATCATTAGGATTTGAACTTTTGGTCATATTGATTATGTCAAACACTTTTATAGGCTTATTTGTTAATTACTAATTAAGTTTTAAATTTTGTTTTCCTTTTATTAATAGTCACCTGTCGGGCCCGACATGCATTTTGTATACAGTATTTTAATAATTGATCGGTTGTTAATTTTCTGTCTTGGGCCTCTTATTATTTCCAAGAGACATTATCACTCTTTTTATCTCCATTTTTTAAATTAATATTTAAGCAAATTTCGCTTCTTCATTTATTGTTCGGCCGATCCCATCATTTTCTCCTACGAGGTGGTACTCCAGCGCTTTATTTTAGTAGTCCTCTGGCTACATCACGAGCTACCAGAGGCCGATATGTGTGTGTGCTGTGCACGCATATAGCAGAGTCCACGCTGGTGGCTCATCATCGTGCGTGGCGCCGTGTGAGAGGTAGGTGCCAGTTGAGTACCGCGTCTGCACGCGCTCGCACGTCACGGACGCGCGGTGCGCACACAAATGGACAGATATATCAAAAATATGTCTTAACACAAAGAAATGGAATTTCCTTTTAAAACGACTAATTTTTCGAACAAATCATCAGACAATAAACCTCTAGTTGGCGAATGTATAACCTCCGAAGGAAAACAGGCATTCAGCTGGCTTGGATGAGCATAAACTAGTGTACAATGAGTAAACACTGTTTTTATTACCGGATAATTGCCCAGCATTTTTAATGAATTTTAGATTTATCATTTAAAAATGAAGAGAATCCAATTCAACAGCTGAAAGGGACTTTTATTTTTGTTTCAATGAGATGTATTCCCTGGTGGAATCAAACGGAAACTATATTCTTCGTCTGTATTTGGAGTATTTCTTCTTTTAAATACATCTCTGAAATATATGCCCAAAAAATCAAAAATACAAAATGTATTTAAAATACATGTATTTAAATACTGGCTAACCCTGCTCATTACAGATCGTACATTTGGCATAAAAACTAAATATTTTCAAGCAAATATCAACACAAATTTGACAATAATTGCTTTTCATTCACGTAAACCATGTCCCAACAATAAGACGTAATTCATAAAAATTAGCTCCCGAGCCATTGTTGCATTCCAATCTGATTTTCCCCCAAAGCTAGCAATTTTTATTTCATAAATTCAAATACGTTTTAAGTAATTTCTAAAAGATTAATGTGTAAATGTATAACAAAATGTCGAATGTAAGAAACTAACAAAGAAATACGAAATAATATACAAATTCTAACTTAAGAGGCATCGAACTGTCTGTAATTACGTTCACGAAGAGCAGTAAATTCGGAACAGGCGACTATTTTAGTTGCCAAAATACCCAAAAAATACTCATATTTTCAAAAAATTGACCTTGACGTTATTTGAAGATTAATTTTGATAAACACATTTCATTTGAAAAAAAAATGTATTTTCACAATTGTAATTGAAGACTAACCGCAGTCAATTCAGAGCGGGCTATTACGTTTGTCACGAAGTTACACAAAATAGTCATATTTTCAAAAAATTCAGCATGACCTTATTTGAAGATGTTCTTTATGAAGAAACTTCATTACGAAAAAATGTATTTTCGCAATTGTAGTTGTGGAAAGACGCCGATTTTTTTGATTTGTTTAAATTTTTGCAACATCAGGCATTTTAAAGAACAAGCTAAGGTCTCAATGTACTGCAAACAATTTTGTGGTTTAAAGAAAATGAAAAGGGCCTATCTTGCATATTTTGTAATAGGAAGATGCCGAAAAAATATTTGAATGTTTGCAATTCACCATTCTCTTAAACATCCTTTACAACGTCCACATCCAAAAATAAAATTTAATTAAAGATCATCGGGAAATAAGTTTTGGAGAAAATAGGTTGAACAGACGTTTTGCCGTCAATCGATTTTTCGGTAATCAGGGACCCACATAACATGATGTTCTGACAACACCACGGATTTGAGGATTGTTTTTTCTAAATTGTGCACCGGTATTTATCCACTTTTTCGTTGCTAGGGCCCTGTAATAAGGTGTTGTTTTTTTTGGTGTGCCGAAAATTAGACGTTTTTTCGTGCAACAATACATACCGTGCATTCTCTTTACCGCGATAGCGACGAAGTAATAAAATCACACTTTTCTGGTATCAGAAACATATTCAAGATGTGTATTTCTGTTAAAATCTCAAAATTAATTGCTGGAACTTTTTGTAACACACTCTACACTACGTGTATACGTACATATAAAATACATTAAAAAGGGTATATTGAACTGTTCCTTATCTTTTTTTTATCATTGTTTAGTAGTATACAATTTAAAAATATATATTAAAAAAAAAAAATATGTTGTGAGGAATTGAACAAAGAAATTTCTTTTTGTGGTAATGTCCAAGATGTTCTATAATTCACAATATATGATTTTGTTTTATTAAACAAAATTCAATAATATTTATGACTAAAAAATCCCTGCTCTCTGAAGTATAACAAATTGTTTTATCTCCCACGATTATGTACAACTAAATCTGAACACATTAGTTAAAGTAAAAAAAACTAGAATTCTCTGAATTGATTGATTTTGCATATTTGGAAATTTAATGAGAGTTTGGTGCAAGTTTATCATATTTTGTTACCTGTTTTGTTAACAACAAACATATCACAGAGGGTCAGGCAATTGAAATCATTAAAAAAACACAACAAATAATTAAAAATGTGAAGTATTCCACTCCTTAGAATTAGAACCCTTACATGCAGAGATGAATCAAATTTAGTTTGATGATCCAGAGAATAATGGAACACACTTGAGAACAACAGTAATGTCGATACCAATGGTTGCAATGATGAATTTTGTATCCTTCAGTAGGCTTCTAGCTTAGGTTTCTCCTGCAAGTGTGTGCAGAATTTCCTTACGGAAACTTAATTAAGACTACGAAGACAGATCGGGATGTACTACTGAGGACATTCACTTGATTTCTCTTGTCCTTCCAGTGAAAGGTGGAGTGTCTGAACAATGAAATACTTGTCTTCCACTTCCTGTCCTTTCCTTTTGCTATAACATTGGTAGTAACTTTCCTTTTCTTATTTACAAGTTAGCAACAATCCTGAACTTTTAATGAAGGAGCAAAAAGTTGCCAAAACTTGAGACGTCTATTGGAAGTGCTGTAATAACTTTGCAAACGGATTTCACAAGTGTCTAAGTATGTGTGTGTGTGTGTGTGTGG